GGGGGGGGGCAATGTCTAGACACCAATGCGAACAGTTGCTCATAGAAATGTGTTAAGCTGACATAAAGGTTAAGCCCCAGATGGGAATAAAACACACACACAAAAAATTATTTGGCACATTTCAACTAAAATGGTGATCCAGGGAAATGACAAGATTAAAAGATAAAAATTTAAAATTAAAAAACAGCTAAATGGCTGTTGTAGGAGAAAAATTAACAACTTTGTTTTTAAACAAATAAAGAACATGTATGTAAAGTCAGTTCAGTTTTAACAAAACTGTTTCTGTTCTGTGATCTGTTAAATATTTTACGTGTTATCAAAATAAGAAATGAGTGCAACAAAAAATTTGCATATAATCCTTTTCAAAAAGGTGAACCATCACACTCCTCAGCTTCCCTGATAAGGTCTATTCGGGGGTGATGAAGAAGAGGGTCCAGTCGTTGGTCAAACCTCAGATATTGGAAGAACAATGCAGGTTCTGTCCAGACTGTGAAACACTGGACCAGATCTTTAACAGTAACTTTTATGAACAGAATTTCTTGCTGCAGCCAGGAAATGGTTCAGATCAGTGACCTCAGGATCTCCTTTTTGCAAATGACGTAGACTTGTTGGCATCTAGCCCTGTCACGATAACAAATTTTGCTGYGCGATTAATTGTCTCAAAAATTATTGCGATAAGCGATAATATTGCCTGGTGGCCATTTTACAACTAATAATTATAAAAGCGTAATATGTCAGTGTAATAAATCAATAAACTTTAATTTTTAAAAGAATGTTTAACAAAGTGGACTCTCAGTCTCTAACAAAAAATGCACTTGAATAAAAAACCAAAGAACAAGAAAATGTAAATTAAACACCACACAACTAAGACAGTAAATAAACAATATTAAAGTGCAGCATGTCTTTAGAGATGAAGCAAACTACACAGCCTAGTGAGGACCCACTGTTTCTTATGGGGACATGAAGCCAGTTCACATCCCATGTAAAGTGTAGGCTAGGTTTAGGGTCAAATGGTAATAGGAAATACTGGTAAATGAATGAAAGTCAATGCAAAGTCCCCATGAGGATAGAAGAACAAACGTGTCTATGTGTGTGTGTGAGGAGGGGACGGTCAGTGAGGAGACAAGCAGAGGGCTGCAGGGGAGGAAATCAGACAGTTCAGAGTTTTCCTCATGAGTTGTTGGGACAGCTACAGGGTTTTTTTGGGTGTGTTTTGTTAAAACATAGACGGTGCGTTTACGTTTCCTGTTATTTTTGGGAGCTACAGGTAAAGTCTTGACGAGTTTATCGCGGGTCTGGGGGAGTTTCATCTCTCTCTCTCTCTCTCTCTCTCTCTCTCATTACAACATTAAAACTGGTGACGTGAATTCATTAAGAACATTTCTTCAGAACCCCACAGTTAAGAGAAGCAGATATATTTTATCAATCCAGCAGATGGTGCAATTCATCTTATAAACACCTCCAAAAATGATAAAATGTTAAATTATTTGTAATATTTTCGTACATTAAGATGAGCTGCGATGTAAAGTCAGTGCTCCCGTGAGGAACAAACAGATAAATGAAGCGTCTTGTTGGTTTTAACAAAATTAACTCCCACACGGATCTGACTGACCGACTTAACGCCACACAGATGAGGAGTCTCTCTCTCTCTCTCTCTCTCCTCTCTCTCTCTCTCTCTCTCTCTCTCTCTCTCTCT